CACACACACACACACACACACAGCCTACACAAACTACTACACCTAAAGAACGAAGTAGCCTATTCTATTATAGTATTTGGACGCTTGAAATGTGTGAATGGATAAATAATGAAATGCCAAACCAAGTCATTAATACTGCTTCCATAACTTTACACTCCTCAAGCGTTATAGTTCCAAATGTGGGGGGGGGGTTCATAGTGATTCATAGAATAGAAGAACCATTTTTGGTCCTGCAAAGAACCTTTCAATGAGCAGCTCTTAAAAGAACCATTTTTTCTTAGTCTGAATAACCTTTTTCCACTATAAAGAACCTTTCAATGTTCCATGGATGTTAAAGGTTCCGTATGGAGCCATAAATGCCAGTAAACAAGCTTTATTTTTAAGAGTAATAGGACTCATTTTTTGGTTCCTCAAAGAATCTTTGAGTTGGAAATGTTCCAAATGTGTGAATGCCAATGCATTAGATAACAAAATGCCAAACCAAGTCATTAATATTGCTTCCATAAGTTTGCACTATCTAGCATAATAGTTGTTACGGGGCTGACGAGACGTCCATGGATGTTAAAGGTTCCGTATGGAGCCATAAATGCCAGTAAATAAGCTTTATTTTTAAGAGTAATAGGACTCATTTTTTGGTTCCTCAAAGAATCTTTGAGTTAACAGTTTTTAAAAGAACCATTTTTAATAATCTGAAGATCCTTCGCCATTATAAAGAGCCTTTTGTGCAATGGAAATGTTCCAAATGTGTGAATGCCAATGCATTAGATAACAAAATGCCAAACCAAGTCATTAATATTGCTTCCATAAATTTGCACTATCTAGCATAATAGTTGTTACGGGGCTGACGAGACGTGATTGGAAGTTCATGGACCGGATTCGTGACAATAGTTCCAAATGTTTTTTTTTTCATAGTGATTCAATAGAAGAACCGTTTTGGTTCCCCAAAGAACCTTTCAGTGAGCAGTTCTTAAAAGAACCATTTTTTTCTTAGTCTGAATAACCTTTTTCCACTATAAAGAACATTTCAATGTTCAATGGATGTTAAAGGTTCTTCATGGAGCCATAAATGCCAGTAAACAAGCTTTATTTTTAAGAGTGAGAGGACTTTTTTTGTTGTTGGTTTCTCAAAGAATCTTTATCTTAACAGTTCTTAAAAGAACCATTTTTAATAATCTGAAGATCCATCTCCATTATAAAGAGCATTTTGTGCAATGGAAATGTTCCACGGGGTTCTTCAAGGAACTGTAAATGCCAGTAAAGCACCAATGCTCTGTTTATCTCTGTTTTGGCAAGAAAAAGTTTTTAACAAAGCCAAAGTAAGACCAATTGTCTCCGAGGCAGCACTGTGTATTTTGTTACTGAATTAATCTGTGTTTTTGAACAAATTATTTGAGTCAATGATTCAGTGGCCCATTCATAAAGACAATCACTAGCTTAGTTTCTAAACGAATCAGCCGTTTTGAATAAACGAGTCAATGGATCGCTCATTAAGACGGAGACTTGCTGCCACCTACTGGCGGCTTTAGTGTCATATTTATTTATCCATAACAGGCTTAAACCAACCAAGGTGCTATCTCAAAAACACACTCTGCAAAATATGGTAATTATCACTATAAAAAAAAAGACATTTTATGTCAATTGCACACCCCTAAAATAACCAAGCATCATCTTTAAAAAATATATTTTTTTATTATATTGTAGTTTGTATGGTTAATATTAATGTAATTGTGAGCAAACTAGGGTTTAACAAAAGGTAATTCGGCCCGCACAAGGGGACATTTTCTCTGATCCGGCCCTCAACCTTAAATGAGTTTGACACCCCTGCACTAGAGTGTACCATGGTATGCCACAATAGTATTTTCTAAGTCTTTATTGAGCTGAAATTAATTTTTGATGCAATATCTCAGCTGTTTTGTATAGTTTAGGCTAGCCGTGTTTCTTTGCTCAATTCGATGTCTGTGAACTATTAAAAGGCGCCCAATAGAGTGACTGTTCATTTCTGTAGTTTGGTCTTCAAATCAGAATTCATATAGAGCCCAACAGGTGCTGCAAGTAAAAACCCAATGTATTTTCTCCACAGATACTGTAAATTGATTTTTGAACCAGCCATGAGTTCTGAGGTTGTGAAGATATACGTTTCTGTAGATGCCACAAGTTAGAGTGATTTCAACCTGTTTAATAGCCAAACTCTAGATGTATAACTACACTACTAATCATGAAGAGAGCTCAACAATGAACAAAACAATGTTACCATGTGAGTCAGCCTTCATTCACTCTCAAACTACTGTATGATTTTGAATATTTTGCAGTAAACCTAGAGTAATTTTAACATTTTACAATAAGGTTCCATTAGTTAACATTTTGATGCATTAACTAAGATCAACTAACAATGAGCAGTAGTTCATTTGTTACAGTATTTATTAATCTTTGTTAACAGTAAATAAAAATACAACTCTTCATTGTTAGTTCATATAAGCACAGGTCCATTAAATAATAATATAATATAATACACAGATGCATCTTTTGATTTGAATAATGTATCAGTAAATGTTGAAATTAACATTGTTAATTGTTAGTTTATGTTAACTAATATTAACAAATGCAACCTTATTGTAAAGTGTTATCAACTTAAGCTACCAAGTTTTTATACTTCTAATCAGTGACAATGTATCAACAGTTTTACTTTGATTACGATCATTCGCAGTGCATCACGGGATACCGGTTCATTCAATCATAAAAGTACACAGTCTAGCTTTTGTCTTTTTCCCAATTTTCAAACAGTTTTGCTTCAAATCAAACATTGTATTAATGTTGTGATTTATCTCACAGCCAGTTGGTTCAAGGCTTAGATCTCGTTATTTAAGATTTTTCAAATTTTGACTTTTTGCACACAAATTCCAAGATGTAAACTCAGAATTGCTAAATATAAATGCAGAATTGGACAATATAAACGCAGAAATGTATATATAAACACAGAATTGAAAGATATACAGTAAACACAAAATAAATGCAAAATTACGCAGTACAAACTCAGAATTGTATTTATTATTGTTAGAAAGGTATATAGTGATAAATTGTGCAAAATAAATTCAGGGACATTTATTAAGAAAGTAAATTGCGTCAGTTTTGACTACAAGATTAAAAACGGTACAGTTGACCATGTAACAAATGTAGGCTAGTTTGTTGAATAATTCCTACGAGTCCATTTTTTTTTTAATTCTGTCTTTTATTCTATAGTCTTGCACCCTTGTTCTTAAATATACTGTACAGGTCGGGACGCACACACACACACACACACACACACACACACACACAAAGAGAACAGGCAAGTAGACCAACATTACATAAACGAGAACGGACCCCAACTAAGGGAAAACTGAGAGTATTTGTAGGGGAGCAAACGAAAGAACTAATGAGTTAATTAATCAAACACAGGTGAACGAAATAACAATTAGGAGCCAAAGTAAAACTAGGTCACAGGGGAACAGATAAACTGAAAACACAATGAAAACAGAACAAAAACTAAACATAACCCTAACAGGTAAATGAAACAGGTTTTTTTTTTCAAACTACACGAGGTGTAAAAGTTGCTAAAAATACTAAATGTTTATGGTTTCTGGAGAAAATGTGAGTGGTTTTTGAGTATATAAAAGTGTAAAAATGTGGGTGGTTGCCAGGATGTTGCTTTGCAGTTGCTTGGATGCTCTGAATGAATGTTTTGCAGTTGCTAGGGTGTTTCTAGGTTGCTATAATGTTGTGGATGGTTACTGTTAGGGATGTTCATTTCGGTTATTTTTCCTAACTGACAACCGATGCTCGTTAACCGATTGTTAACCGTTAACCGACAAGATTATTTTAAATTAGAATAGGTTAGGGTAAGTTTCTGTGACCCATTAAATATACTAACATTTGTTTCCCGGGGATTAATTTTACATGCGCAAAAAGCAGCAAACAACAGAACATGAACATGAGGATTCACATGGCCATCATATCACATCACGCTTCTGCCAGCGGAGAAAAACATAATAAAGCTAGGCTATATATATATATATAAAACGAACATATAGGCCTATACGAGAAACATATTTTTTACTTAAATTATAAAGTAAGAAAAACAAGTAGCCTAGTATGCAGAGTTTCGGTTCACTTTTGTGCTGCGCGAAAGGAAACCAGACGGCAGAAAGCTGCATCCTATTTTTCTTTAGGCTTATTTTACAAAAGCACAAAGATTTGTTTTTATTGTGAATGTACACAAATAAAGGCAAACCTTTTACAATTCCGATTATCTTTATGACTAAAAGGAGTAGTTTCTTCCACTGTTAGAAGGAAAAAATTCAAGTGATTGCGCACACAGTTAAGCTTTGCTACCTTGACAATGCAGCCTGTTCATTATCATAATAAAATACAGTCAGTCAAACATAACCAATGTGTAGTAAAATCTGTTAAGCCGTTAAAGTTAAGTGTTATCACTACCGCCGTGATGTAAAACATTTTGTTTTACGTGGATATTGGAACGTGAATGAAGTACATAATAATTTGCCATTCAAATACAGAAACATATGATTTTGTGTGGAATGAGAGACCCAACGTTGGTTTCAGTTTCGTTTAAACCTAAATGAATTCGTTTTGGCTTGTCATTTGTATTGCTATAGCTTGTTATATTTTTAATTCTTTTCTAAATACTGTTAATTGAAAGGATTTGTTGTGGAGTGAGGGGAACTAACACTAGCTATGTTTACACTGTTTATTATAATGTTTGTAAACATTTCGCATCGGAATTAGGTCTATTTCTGAATGAAATAATAAAATGCAACTTATACGTGACTTGTTTTTTTCCCCCCTAAAAAGCGTATTTTAACCAATGCAGCAAACCGTTTTAAATATATTGATAAATTACTGAAAAAATAAATAATTACATGATTTTTTAAACCGTTTAACTGATTGTATTAATCGGTCAAAATGAACATCCCTAGTTACTGTGATAATCTGGCCTTTCTAGGTTTGGTTTGAGTCGCTCCTTCAATGTTATTGCAAACCATCAGTGACCAGATTCATGCTAAACGTGGGGTTTGTTGAAGAGTGACCCCCCAACGATCATCTCACCAGGTCAGGTCTGAAGTAGAGGTCATACTTCTGCGATCAGAGTCTTTTGTATTCACATTGCAGATTTCTGCTGCTGTCTGAAGGGGAGGCATTTATCTTTGTTGGTTATTGGCTGATGAGGTATCAGAGAACGCTCTAAGCTTCTTTGTGTAAGAGTGAAAATCGCTTTTAGCGGCAGATAAGAAGGAGATAATATCAGATAAATCCTGCGGCCTGCGTTAGCATGCAGCATTAGCCGTGTAATAGCATATGGAGTGCAGTTTGACAGAGAGGGATCAGATGGCCGCCAGCCGTTTACCGCAGTTCCGTCTTAATCGCGGAGGGTTAACAGTTGTTTCAGATGCATGCAGAGACAGATAGCCGAGGCCTTTTAGATATTCAGAGCGCATGCTTTTAAAATTCCCCTATGGCTGCAACAGAAGTCTGCAATGGCTTGATAACTCGTGTGCTGTCAGTTGCTGTCGCCGATGCCGAGGGAAGCTACATGTTCTGCTTTAGAGCTTCTTCTCTTCAGGAATAATTTAAAAGTTCTGTGGGACACGTCTGAATTTTTCCTGCGGCGATGGCAGGGCAGACGTCTAATTAAGATGGAGGAAAAGACACAAAAATTGACGAGCTGTTTGCAGATGAACACTTTTGAAAAGGCCTTATGACACGGGGCGCCAGTTTTACATCTGATTGCAGAGAATGCGACAGATCGGTCATGCGTCACTCAGTTGAGTACCTCAGTCTGACAGATGTCCTGTGATTGGCTCAGAGGTTGTGGTGGGCGTGTCTCATGTCACCGAGAAATTTAATATAATACATGCTACATGTAGTTGATGTAAATTTAATGCAAAAATTATTTAGCCTAGATTTTTTAAATAATTAACTGGTAATTAGGGCTGTTGCGATTCGTCGATTCTATTCGATTTTAAAACATCCTCGACTTCATTTTGCCTACGTCGACTAACCGGCAAAAACCGGACGTGGCGCATTTCACGGACGAGAATCCATAAAACACATTATTAGACTTGTTTCCCAAGGCCTCATGATATATTAAACCCGTTAAAAAAATCATAATTAAGTATAACTGTGAATTCACAAATGCTACGATTTAATTAAATGATTATATGTGGTGCAGTTATAGGCGTGTAGGTTACGTACGTGTGTCTCACAGCGGCTCCGTTCACAGTAAATGCTGCTCCACAGGAACTGTTATCATTTACATGTGTGGAGCGGCTCAAACTCCATCTGTGCATGTTGTTGTGTTTGGGTTTATTATAACGTTCATCTGGGAACGCAACGTGTGCTATTTCATCAGATTTGTAAGGTAAATAATTTATAAATCCACACAAACACAGGAGAATACATCATTATCTCGCAGATTCAAAATAAAAGCTCAAACCCTCACTCTGAGTTTACACGTTTTGATGTCCACATATTCATTAAATTACAGTGGCTATAGCATTTCTGTAGTAAAGAAATGGCCAAATATTAAAGATTAAGTGGACATTTGAATTAAATGATGCTTGGTAAATATTAAAACAGTATTAGATCGCACAGTAATGTGTAAAAACAATCGTCAGGCCGTTGGCACCCCCTGCAGGCCTTTGTTGTAATGCGTAATGTACATTAGCTCTATTCACTGATCTATAATATAGATTATATTATTTATTATATATAGATCAGTGGCTCTATTACATTATAATACAGTATTTTAACAGTTTTGTTCAATAAAACCATGATTTCTTGCTTTTGATACTTTCTTTGAACTAATTATTATTGCCTCACTGCTATTATATATGTATTTTAAGTAAATTTAAAGGCTACTGTTCACTTAACCTACATCTATTTTTATTACCACAAAAATGTATTATTAATTAGAATATTTTATTATTAGTAGACCAGAACACGTGGACATGAAGTCATTCGTACACTATAATACTGAACTTTGATTTCAGTGATTTGGACTATGAGATGGACACTTGCTGCTTGCACTCTGTTGCACTTTACTTTTGCTTTAAAAAATTGTTTAATAGAAATTTGGATTTCATTTGAAATTTTAACTACTGAAGTCCTCTGTTAATTTTTTTTCATCATGCTGGAGATGTCGGTTTAAATCTGTTGTTTACACATTTCTAAGAGTACTTTTAATACTTTAAGATTTTTAATAATAATAACTTTTAATAATAAAATTAATACTTGATTCTAGTGGACTCTAAACATTGCATTTATTTAATGTGAAAACCCAACTGTTGGAGTTAATTGAAACATATTTTTCCCCTTTGTAGTTGCACTCGCAGCTGTAATGAACAGAAGCCCAGAACATGTGGATATATTGACATTAAGAACATGCTGACTTTCTCAGACTTTTGTAATTATTTCATTTTTATTTCATTTTTATTGGGTTTGTTTACATTTTTACTCTTTTAGTTTTACATTTCGTCAATGGCTTGTTTACATTTATAATTTTTTTTATTGTACACTACTGAATGGCAAAGTTGCAAGTTTAATAAAATGTTCTTTAAAATTGGTGCTTTTTTTGTGGGAAAGTAATCGTTTAGATTAATCGATTCATCGATAAATTAGTTGATAGATTAATTTTAATAAAAATAGTCGTTAGTGGCAGCCCTAGTGGTAATGTCTATTTATGGATAATTATTTATTATTATGATTATTTGTATTTATATGTATAAGCAATATTGCAACTTCAGTTGCATTTAATGTTATTTTAGTATCGTTGATATTCCATAATAGTTTCTGTTGAATGTTAGATGTGATTTTTATTTGTGGATAAATGACTAAATTAATATTTTCTCTTTTTATTTGGAACTTAATGAACACAAAAGAAAAGGTTTTATAAAATAGAATAAAACTGATTGCATCCATTGTTATTTTAGTATAATTGATTTTTTTATTTTATGTTCACATTTTAATTTTAATTAAAGTTTTAGTAATTTAGTGTGCTTGTCATTTTTATTAGCCTTTTTAATGTCTATATAGTTTAGGAATTATTTTTAATTTATGCATTTTTAATTAATTTAGTACTTTTTTTTTTATTTGCCTTTTTTTTTCAGCAAATGTTTTTTGTCAAGTGACAAAAATATTTTTTTATTGTTTTAGTTAACTATACAAACCCTGGTTACATTAAAATAGGATTTTATACATACACACATACAGTGGGTACGGAAAGTATTCAGACCCCCTTAAATTTTTCACTCTTTGTTATATTGCAGCCATTTGCTAAAATCATTTAAGTTAAATTTTTTTCCTCATTAATGTACACACAGCACCCCATATTGACAGAAAAACACAGAATTGTTGACATTTTTGCAGATTTATTAAAAAAGAAAAACTGAAATATCATATATATATATATATATATATATATATATATATATATAGCAAAATCTACTGGTTGACATGTATACTGTTGAACAGCATATATGCTGTCATATCACCCTGCACTACTTGGAAGAGAAGAGCAAGGGAGGGAATGGTTGGGAGCTACAGGAGGCCAATAAGGAGATACTGAGATGCTGAATAAATGCGATGGAGTCACGTGTGTGTCGAGCTGTTGAGCTGTCAGGGCAGGCGGTTTACAGAGAAAGCCAATCTGTCCATGAGTCTCACCAATCCGCAGGGTGTGTCATGCCTGTCAAAGATGCCATTCATGTGGAAATCAGCGTGAAGGGATGAAAAACAGCTTCGCCTTGACACACATTCATTTCCTAAAGAAAAACCTGAAACCCGAGGGGCGACAAAAAGAGAGAGATTCCCTATGACCACCAACAGGATGCCAGAGCTGGTGGCTGGTTCAGTGTTTCCTCGTAATGCCATTAAAATACTGAGGTTAATGGTAAAATATGTACTCCCATTCTTCAGGTGCTAGATTTGTGAGCAGGTCATTTAGTAATTAGGTCTGTCAAAGTGAAAGCATCAATTAATATGTTCACATTGCCACAATGGACTCCAGTAAGCACATTATTGGCCAACGTTAGAAGGTTGGAGTTGATTGGCATTGGTTGGTGCTGTTTGGTGTTGCATACCAGAGCTTGGTTCCAGTGGCCAACATTAGAAGATTGTAATTGATTGGAGTTGGTTGGTGTTGGCTGGCATTGGTTGGCATTGGATACCAGGGCTTGGTTTCAATGGCCAACATTTGAAGGTTGGATTTGAATGGAATTGATTAGAGTTGATTAGAGTGTATTAGAGTTGATTGGAGTTGAATGGAGTTGGTTGGCGCTGGTTGGTGCTGGCTGGCATTGGATACCAGAGCTTGGTTCCAATGGCCAACATTAGAAGTTTGAGTTGGTTGGCATTGGTTGGTGGAGCTTGGTTCCAATGGCCAACATTAGAAGTTTGAGTTGGTTGGCATTGGTTGGTGGAGCTTGGTTCCAATGGCCAACTTTAGAAAGTTGGGTTTGTTGAAGCTGGTTGGACTTCATTGGCGTTGGTTAGTGTTTGTTGGCATTTGTTGGGTGAATGTGAATTGACCTTTTAACACCATCAACACATTTAATCCATTTTAATGACATTTTAACTGCTGAAAACTGTAAAATCTGATTAGAACATTTGAAGCTGATTGAATCTAATCAAAGTTGCAGCATAAGCTTCTCTTTCACACGCACACCAAAGGTCTCTGGTCGACCAGCCATTTATAAGTAAATGATGGAGAAAGACCCTCTTAATGGCTCATTTATTTATAAATCAAACTGAGATGGGACGGTTGACAAAAGTAGAGGTCATTAGCGTTATTGAAGGTCAGGTGAAATGAATGAGTGAAACACTGTCGTTCAGTAAAATGCTGATGCCAGTAAGGTTGTGCTCTTAAAGTGTGTGGTTGTTTTATTATGAAGTGTTTGTATATCCTTTGTGTTTACAGACTATATACACTGGCTGTCAAAAGTTTGGAATAATTGGTGAGCTATTCTGCACTGTTGTATTCATTTGCAATTTATTTTTTACTCGAGTTACCAACTTTTTTTCTTAGCTGCCCAAATTTATTGTCTCAGAATAATTGTAGGCTTACTGTAGTAAATTGGGGGAAGGCAAGAAGTTTAAGTACTTGTTCAATTTTGCATGATGAATACAAAAAAAAATTATATTTAAATTGATTGACACACACGCACACCAAAGGTCTCTGGTCGACCAGCCATTTATAAGTAAATGATGGAGAAAGACCCTCTTAATGGCTCATTTATTTATAAATCAAACTGAGATGGGACGGTTGACAAAAGTAGAGGTCATTAGCGTTATTGAAGGTCAGGTGAAATGAATGAGTGAAACACTGTCGTTCAGTAAAATGCTGATGCCAGTAAGGTTGTGCTCTTAAAGTGTGTGGTTGTTTTATTATGAAGTGTTTGTATATCCTTTGTGTTTACAGACTATATACACTGGCTGTCAAAAGTTTGGAATAATTGGTGAGCTATTCTGCACTGTTGTATTCATTTGCAATTTATTTTTCACTCGAGTTACCAACATTTTTTTTCTTAGCTGCCCAAATTTATTGTCTCAGAATAATTGTAGGCTTACTGTAGTAAATTGGGGGAAGGCAAGAAGTTTAAGTACTTGTTCAATTTTGCATGATGAATACAAAAAAATTATATTTAAATTGATTGACATCCAACACTCTTAAAAATAAAGGTGCTTCAAAAGGTTCTTCTAGCGATGCCATAGAAGAACCATTTTTGGTTCCACAAAGAACCATTAAGTAAAAGGTTATTTAAAGAAAAAAATGTTTATTAAATTTTTATAATCTGAAGAAAATTCTTTCACCCCAAAGAACCTTTTGTGAAACAGAAAGGTTCTTCAGATGTTAAAGGTTCTTTATGGAACCATTTAGACAAAAAGGTTCTTCTATGGCATCGTGAAGCACCTTTATTTTTAAGAGTGAAGTCAGTGGAGAAACAGACTTGGTTTTGGTGGAAATGGGGTGAAAGAGCGACAGGAACAGAGTGTGAAAGGCCATGTAACACCATTAGATGATAGAGGACAAACCCCTAATGAAGTAATGAACCAGGATTATTAACATCTCATCATAAACCCACATCTGCACTGAAACCGAGAGCCGAACCTGCCTGGTAATGAGGCTGATGGAAAACATTAAGACAGACAGAAGTAATGAATAGAAAATGACACTTCTCCAGGCCTGGAGTCATTTTCACTGTTATTGTTTTCAACACGCTGGTTTGGGGTCAGTTCAGGTTCAGTCTCAGAAGATGAGAGACCTCCACCTCTTCAGGCAGAAAACACTAATAAACCCACATCTGCACTGAAACCGAGAGCCGAACCTGCCTGGTAATGAGGCTGATGGAAAACATTAAGACAGACAGAAGTAATGAATAGAAAATGACACTTCTCCAGGCCTGGAGTCATTTTCACTGTTATTGTTTTCAACACGCTGGTTTGGGGTCAGTTCAGTCTCAGAAGATGAGAGACCTCCACCTCTTCAGGCAGAAAACACTAATTTCATTTCATCCCTCAATCTTTCATTCATTCCTTTAGCCTTTCATCGTCTCATTTCCCAAACACACGAGAAGCAAATTAGCAGCAGATCCTTGATTTAATTCCCATGGAACCCAAATTATTGCTCAAGAGCTCTTGTTTTAAGAAATATTAATTACATTCCTCATTTGCATCAGAAGCTTCTGAACTCAGCAACATCTCTAAATTTAAGTAATTTAGAGATGAAAATGACAGTCGTATCAGTGGCAGATGACATGCATATAGAATGTGGCCTACATGCAGACGGTTCTCTCACGGGTCCGTGTTTGGCGAGCGTCGCTGGCTGTGAAAGTCCGGCTCAACCTCCATGTGTCCCTGACACCTCACGGCCTCCACCAGAATCAATCCGGCTCAAACTGGCACAACTTTACTATCAGAGCGACTGATACTATAGCAGCTCTGAGGGCACTTTCACACTAGAGCTGCTGTCAGAGCGGTTTCGTACCTGCGAACCACACGCACATCTGCTTCAAATGGCAGTCTGGAGTTAGATACACTATAGTTCACAAGATTAATACTTTCATTCAGCGAGGATGCATTAAATTGATCAAAAGCGACAGTAAAGACTTCTAGAATGTAAATAAATGTTGTTCTTTTTAATTTTACCCATTTTCAGTGATCAGTAACCAAATGTGGTACTTTGCATGCAGCTAATATTTAATGCTTTTAAAGAGGAATGTCTGAAGAACATGATTATGCAAATAAATAAAGGTACATTTCCAATTTCAACAGTATTTGTTCTTATTAGACTTTCTTCTTTAAATACAGTAAGTATCAGCTGTTTGCAAAGTGACCTACATTTGGTTTTGACCACTAAAAATGGGTAAAATTCAATGTTTTGCACAAAAGGCCGCATTGAGATCCCCCTATC